CCTCTCCTCCCCCCCCCTCCCTTCCCTCCCTCCCTCCCTCCCTCCCTCCCTCCCTCCCTCCCTCCTTCCCTCCCTCCCTTCCTGAAACAAGGTTTCCTGTAGCCAAGGCTAGCCTTGAACTAATCTACTTGCTTCCATCTGCTGCTCAATAATTCTTCCTCCTCCTTCATTTGTTTGTTTGTTCTTGTTGGTTTTTCCAGAGAATGTTTCTCCTTGTAGCTCAGGCTACCCTGGAACTTGCTCTGTAGACCAGGCGACCTCAACCTCAGAAATCTGCCAGCCTCTGCCTTCCGCGTGCTGGAATTAAAGCTGTGTGTCACCACCACCCAGATAATTAACTGCCTGTCTTAGCGCATGGGCCTTTGGTGAGTTGCTCAGCTTTTCTGAGCTTCCTATAACTCCCTACCTCTGAGGCCTCTTCCCTTTCTCCCTGGCAAAATGTAACCTTGGAGTCTGGCCCCACAGAAAAAGCGGCCCTTTCCTTTTGGCTCTCAGACCTTCACACTGCATTCTGTCATGCTGTGCCCATGCAAGCCACGTGTCCTGCATGAGACCTAACCTCTCTGAGGACAGATGCCAGGCCTCCTCCAGGAAGGCTCAGCCTTTGTTGTTGGCCCAGGTACATGACACAGGTTCAGGAAGCTTCCCTTTCACGTTGTAGAACTTAGACTCATGAGCCATGCCTTTTGGGGTGCAGGGGAGGCCCAGGAACACCAACAGGGAGCATGCTGCTGCCAAAGCCTGGCCAATATCCTGCTGGCCTCATGGAGCAGCCCTGGATGCTGGAACCCTGGCTCATTCTGACAGATCCCTCTCTAGCAGAGTCTGCCAGGGGCCTCCAAAGAATAACCAAGGGTAGAAGTAGAAGCCCCCTTTTCCCCTTACCCCCAGCATCTCCTAGCTCCGGGTTCCCATCAAGACCCCCTTCCTGGTAGGAACCTGGAGCGTGGCAAGGATAGTCGGCTACAATCTCTCCCATAGGAAGAGGTGCTTAGTGATTCCTGCTTTCCAGGGATGCCCCATCCTCCCAAGAGAGAGGCTCCCCAAGGCCCAGCAACAAGAGCTAGCCCCTCACTAACCTGGATCAAGCATATCCGTAGCATTGTGGGCTAGGGGCTGCCACCCCTCACTGGGAAAGCCCAAGGCGTGCTCATCTTCAGTGCCTTTGGGAAGAGAGGAGGCCAGGCTGGTGGCGCCCCAGGGCACCTTTGTGCTCCTGATAGGGAAGCCCAGCCCTCACTAGGCTCTCGGTGCCCACAGCATCTGGGACAGGCCTGGGATAGGACCACCGTATTCGTGAGCTTCCCATACCCCTCTCCAAAGTCCACCCCTCCTATTTCTACAAGCACCCCAGTTTCACAATCTCAGGGAGCCACGTTAGCCACTCCTGGGCGGGGGCTGCAGCTCATCTCACCAGGACAGGGGGGCAGGTCGCAGACCCGGGACTCTGTGGCAGTACAGGCATAGCCGCAGGGACGAGTTCTCTGCTGGTTGCCGCTGGTACAGCTCCCACTGCAGGGAGACCAGGCGCTCCACTCCTCCTGAGGTTCGTAGTCTGAGTTGAAGTAAGGGGCCAGGATGAGTGCACTCGGCCCCCAGAGCACACCAGCACAAATTCACAAAAGGCACCCCTTTATCCCCGGCCAGCGCCAGTGGATGGGGCATAACTGGATTCCAGTCCTGCCTATTCCCTCAGTTAGATGTCCTTATACAGCAAACACCTGTGCAATGCATCAGGCGGTCCTATATAGACAGAACAAATGCCAACCACCCACTGTGTCAACACAGGGGTACTTGGAACTAGAAGCCACCAGGCCCACTATCAGTGTGACCTTAGGCAAGCCCCATACATTTCTGAGCTAATGTTTTTACGTCCATCAGAACCAAGGAAGGCAGTCAATAGTGCTTGTCTAGCACGAGTAAAGCCCTGGGTTCCATCCCCAGCACCAGGTTGGTAGCCAATGCAAGCCATCCCAGCAGGGAGGACACAGGGGGAAGAAAGGTAAGAAATCCAAGATTACCCCTGACTGTTTATTAATTTTGAAGTTAGTCTGGGCCTCAGGTTACTCTGTCTCAAATAGTAACAGAGAGAAGCTGGAGTCAGAAATCGAGGGTGGCAATACTTTCTTTCCTAGGTCTGGGATTCCGTTTCTTTATCTGAGGGAGAGCAAACACCCGGGCCCGGGCCTGTATCCCTGTATCCGCGTCCAGGTGTGGAACTCCGCAGGTCTGGCACACTCCTCTCTAGCTCCCAAGGCCTCAGGCCAGCTGGCACCAAGAGCCGGAGGGCGGGGATGGAAGAAAAGCTGAGACTCCTGAAGCTCTGTTTACAGCAGTTTAGGAAACCTGGAAGAGCTTGTCAGGACTTAGTCTTAATCCCTGGCGTCTCAGCAGTGGGATAACAAGACCCCGGGGCTTCCGGAGAGTCGGAGAAGCTGTTTACCCAGCGCAGTGGGAAGTACAACCTGAAGAGTACTCGTGGCCACCCCAGCAGGAGGTGGAAGGAGAGCCAGGGAGTTCGTCACCACACGCTGACACTCTATGGACATATTTTTGGTATCTGTATGTGTGCGGCATGAGTGCTTGTGTGCTCATATATGTGGAGGTACACATGGTTCGGGGGGGGGGGTAGTATGTGTGTGCGTATGTGGGTAGGCCCCAGGTTGACATGGGGTGTCTTTTTTTTTTTTTTAAATAACTTTTCTACCTTATTGACACCGGGCCCCCTGCTAAACCCAGAGCTTGCCAGATAGCTAGTATGATCCGTCAGCTAAAGCTGGGGATGCCTGTCTGCCTCTGACATCCTGGGAATACAGGTGGGCTGCCATTCAGCTGGCTTCTGGTTTGTTTGGTTGTTGTTTTTTTTTTTTTTTTTTTTTTTCCCCAAACACAGTTTCTCTGTTTTGGAACTGTTCTGGAACTCACTCTGTAAACCCAAGGGCCTTGAACTCACTGCCTCTGGTTCCCAAGTGCTGGGATGGAAGGCTCACACAACTGTTACCTGGCTTTTTTCCTTAAGAGTTGCACTCTGGCAGGTGGATCTCTGTGAGTTCGAGGCCAGCCTGGTCTACAAGAGCTTGTTCCAGGACAGGCGTTAAAGCTACATAGAAACCCCATCTCAGAAAAACAAAACAAAACAACAACAACAACAAAAAAAAAAAAGAGTTGAACTCTGGTTCTCATGCTTGCATTACAGGTGCTTCCCCCCCTTGAGTGATCTCAATGGCCCAGCTGTTTTATTTTTTGAGACAAGGTCTCAAGGTAGCTCAGGCAGGCCTGGAACTTGCTACATAGCCCAGGTTAGCCTCTAATCCTCAGTCTGACTCCTGGTTGTATATGATGATACCTGACTGGATAGAAGCTTGCTGATTCACTCTCACCAACCCCATGTCATTTAGACATGTGACCGCCTGGTTCAGAGAGGTAAAGTACCTGGCCTAGGGACACTCAACGGCCGAGCCGCAAAGGCTAGCAGTCAAACTCACAATCTCAGGATGAGGCTCGCTCGCTGTAAGTGGTGTGACTTAAGTGTATTTTTCAGTTTTTTTAGGAACCGAAGCGTGAACATTTATGCTATTAAGTAACACTTACTTAGAGGAGCTCAGGGCTATTGTTCAAATGTTGGAGGGAAAAATATTTCATTCTAGCAATGTCACTTTGGGGTTTTCAACGGTACCTGCATAGGCCTGGCTGCATAGGGCTACCCAGCACTACTGGCCTGGAAACTTCACACACACACACACACACACACACACGCACACGCACACGCGCACGCACACATGTGCGTGCTCCAACTCATTCCCACTCAGGACCTAGCAGGGCAGCAGCTGAGGGTGCCCAGCCAGAGCACTCACCGTAGCTGTCTGGTTCCTTGAAGTCCTGGTCCTGAGGACCCAACCAGCCATAGTCCCAGTTGTCTGTGTCCCCACTGGACCAAGGCTCCTCCTCCTGGTCCTCTTCACTGCCCTCCTGGTCCTCACCGTCACTGTACTCTGTGGCGTAACCCTTCTCTTCTTCCTCCCCTACTTCCCCTGGGGCCGTGTCTCTGAGGCTGGCGCCTCCTTCTTCACCTTCCTGATAGCCCCAGAAGAGGGGCCAGAAGAGCTCCCTGGTGGGCAGCCAGCTGGAAACGCGCAGGGGCCAGAGACTTCTAGGTTCAGAAGGCAAGTCCATCTCTACCTCAGCCTGGGGGTCCTGCACCACCTCGATGGTTACCTATGGGAAAGACAGACGGATGCCAGACAGGCAGGCTCAGCACAGGACTCCAAAGAGGAGACCGGTTGGACCCAGATGCCAAGGCCCATCCTTGCTACCAAGCCTGCTGCTGTCTTCCTGCCTGACCTTGGCCTCTCAGGGAACAAAGGGCATTGGGTCGGACATCCTGCGTGTCAGAATCATCTGGGCGTAGAGGCGCTGGGGTGAATCTAGCAGGTGCCAGGCCCACTAGTTTAAGAGAGGCTGTTTGGAATTCTGCCTGGTCTTAGGGGCCAAAAAGGTCCAGAGCAGGACTGCAGATGAGACATCCTGTGTCACATCCCCAGGCTAGCCTCCGGAGTGCTCCAGCTGTACCAACCACAGAAATAAACAAGTAAAAATACAAAGAAGAAAATGAGCCATGGGGGCGCACACCTTTAATCCCAGCAGTAAGGAAGCAAAGAGAGGCAGGCGGATCTCTGAGTTCAAGGCCAGCCAACTGGTCTACAGAGTGAGTCCCAGGAAAGCCAGGGCTACATAGAGAGACTATGTCTTGAAAAACCAAAAGAAAAAAAATTATTAAAAAAAATCATCTGCTATACACACTACAAATCCATCACCAGCAGGAACACTTGCAATCTTTGTGTGCACATATGCACGTGTTATTTTAATACAGGTAGACAGATAGACTTAAGACAATTAGAGAATATTTTGCACTTTTACACTCTTTGTTTTGGTCAAAGTATTCTGCTACACAAACAGGCACACCCACTATTCTTAAAGAGTAAGGATAGGGAGTAGAGCACAGGGCTCGATTTCTGCCTGGCTTTCCTGGAACACCCTTCTGAGGGCTTTTCCATGCTTCAGCACCTTGCCCTCCATTCTGAACTGAATCCCTCTCTTGCATGCAGTAGGGTTTGGGGGCCAAGAGGGGATCACCCCCGTAGGCTATTCCAGCAAGTCTCCATCACATTCCAAGACCTTGGCAGTATCAGGAGCAGGGTGTCTGGTGTCCGTGTTCCTAGTCCTCAGACTAGCCCTACCAGGTTGCTGGGTTTGTCCCCTGCTACATCCAGGGTCAAGGCTCAGGAGCCAAGAGACTTTTTGACGAGGAGAGGGGCAGATGCTCTTCCCACACTGCATGAGAAGTTTACTGTTTTCACTCAGCCAGCAGAAGAAAGAGGATGAAGCTCAGTCGCCAGCCTGGTACCTCTCCAGGGGTCCCCTATACATTTTTTTGTTTTGTTTTGTTTGTTTGTTTTTCTAGACAGGGTTTCTCTGTTAGCTTTGGTGCCTGTCCTGGCACTAGCTCTTGTAGACCAGGCTGGCCTCGAACTCCCAGAGATCCGCCTGTCTCTGCCTCCCGAGTGCTGGGATTAAAGGCGTGCGCCACCACTGCCCGGCTCCCCTAGACATTTTATATGCTCACCTGGATATTGGGGTTTGGGGCACTCAAGTCTGTGTTGGCCAATCCTGGAAGGTTCTTCAGCTCCAACAGCAGGGGTGTGTGTTCTAGGGTCCCGGGAGGGGTGGCTGTACCCAGAGTCAGAGCTGCTGGCTCAGGGAGGGTCTGACACTCGGGGTGACATGGTTCTGCCTGCAGATGGTCTCCAGCAAATTCCAGTGTTACCTCCTTATCTTGGGGAGAGCCAGGATCTGGGGCAGGCGAGGCCTGGGGAAAGAAAGAGGAAGGAGCGGGGGCGACTAAGATCAGAGTGTATCACATGGAAGGAACTGGGCTAAGGAACCAGGAACCTGGGCCTGGCTGAATCATACAGTCGCCTGTGACACAGAGCATCTGGAGTATGTGTTTGGAAAGTCTTAAGGGCCCTAGGAGATAGGTTGAGGTACAGTCAAGAGCAGAAAATAGACTATGTTCACAAAATGGTCTTTTCTCTCTCTGTGTGTGAGTGTGTGTGTGTGTGTGTGTGTATGTGTGTGTGTGATTATACCAAAGCTGACTGAACAACTGACCCTGGAAAGACACCTAAACACACACACACACACACACACACACACACGCCCAGTGCTCTAGTATACATGTGAAGAACAGAAATACATTTTCAGGAGTGGGTTCTCTTCTTCCATGTGGGCTCCAGGGTTGACCCCAATACCTACTGAGCATCTTATCAGCCCACAAAGCTTCTGACAGCAGAGGCTTCAAGGCAAGGATGGATGACACCGCCCAGCTAAATGCGTTTATTCATCTTACAAATGAAGCGGCCCAGAAAGAAGAAGCAGCTACCCATGGTGGTAGCTCCAAAGTGCTGTCCTAGCCAGGCGGTGGTGGCGCACTCGGGAGGCAGAGGCAGGCGGATCTCTGTGAGTTCGAGACCAGCCTGGTCTACAAGAGCTAGTTCCAGGACAGGCTCCAAAACCACAGAGAAACCCTGTCTCGAAAAAACAAAAAAACAAAAAACAAAAAACAAAAACAAAGTGCTGTCCTAGTCCTTCACCCAGACCCTTGCCTCTACCTACTCTACATGTACTGCACCCCCACCCCAGAGCAGGAAGATTCCCGGGGAAGAGCCTGGTCATACCAGGGCATGGGCAGCAGGCCTGCTCATTCCCCTCAGCATAACCCAGACACCTGGCCCTGCCCTCAGCAAATTTCTTGGCAGCTCCTCTTGTCTGTTGGGCCTTGCACCTCTTTTCAGTCTGCTCACTTTGACTGTCAGCCAGTCTGTCCTCCACCAGCTGCTGCCAGAGTGCCTGTCTCCGACAGTGCTCTTCTGCTGCGAAGAGACACCTTGACCGAGGCAACTTTTACAAAGGAAAGCATTTCACTGGGGCTTGTTCTCAGATTCATTCACAGGCTGAGCCCATCATCATCATCAGCAGCATCATCATCATTATCATCATCATCATCATGGAGGGGAGCATGGCAACAGGCAGTAACCAAGAAGCTTTCATCCTGACCCACAGGCTGAGAGAAAGAGAAACTGGGCCTAGTGTGGGCTTTTGGAAGCTCTAAGCTCCTTACCAGTGGTGTGCTTCTTCCAGGACCACACCTGCTCCAACAAGGCCACGCCTCTTAATCCTTCTCAGACAGTGCCACTCCCTGATGACTAAGCATGCAAATATGCGAGCCTATGAGGGCCACTCTTTTTCAAGCCACCATAGTGTCCAAGCCAGGACTATCTTTTGTCAGCTGAGATGGTGAGGGGAAGGAGCCCCTGAGTAAAATTCACCTTAGATGGTAAACATTGGGTAGTCTATGCCTGCTACCTGTTTCTGTTCCCCACGTACCCATGGCAAGGCAGGAGGAGCTCCTTCCAGGGACACCTTTGTGGGTCCTGTTCAGGCCACAGTCTTATTCCCTTCCACCTTGTCCCTGGTGCAGTATAGGACAATTGCTTCTAAAAATTTAGATAAGAATGAACCCAACAGGGGGACTGGAGAGATGGCTCAGAGGTAAAGAGCACTGGCTGCTCTTCCAGAGGTCCTGAGTTCAATTCCCAGCAACCACATGGTGGCTCACAATCATCTGTAATAAGATCTGGTATCCTCTTCTGTACTGTAGGATACATTCAGGAAGAACCCTGTATACATAATGAATTTAAAAAAATCTTAAAAAAAAGAATGAACCCAATAGCCAGTTCCATTTTCTATTAAGGTATTCAACAAAGTGAAGGGTTCTACCAAATGAGAATAAGAAAGAAGGGTCAGAATCTTCTTACTAGACATGTCCACAGCATTTACTGTGTAGTGGGCACTATTTGTGTGTGTGTGTGTGTGTGTACATGTGTGCATGTCTGTGGAGGCTGGAGAACAGCTTTGGCTGTCATTCTTCAGAAGCCATCTGCCTTTAAAAATACTTTCTTAGTTTTATTTTATATGTATGAGTGTTTTACCTGCCCCTGTCTCCCGAGTGCTGGGATTAGAAGCGTACAGCACACACCCGGCCCTATAAAGAGCTTTACCGACTAACACCCCAGTCTCTACAACAAATGCCTCCGCTCAGATCAGCCCTCTGCCAAGCAGCCACAGGACAGGTGGATGGTGCAGAGGTGGAACCTCCTCTGCTGATGTGCCCGGAGACCTGAGCATCCCTGGTACCTCAGGTCAGCTCCACAGCCCTGATGGTCCTTCATTATTTATAATGTATACAATATTCTGTCTGTGTGCATGCCTGCAGGCCAGAAGAGGGCACCAGACCCCCATTACAGATGGTTGTGGGTTGCTGGGAATTGAACTCAGGACCTTTGGAAGAGCGGGCAATGCTCTTAACCAGCGCCCCTGGTCCTGACTCTTTGCCCAGAGTCTCCACTGTGCTGCTGCCTCCGTCACAGATGGGCAGTCGTGGGTGGCTTTGGTGACTATTCTGGATGCTCTTGTCACAAGTTGGAGGTGGTGAGGGACAGTGATGAAGTGATTTTCATCTGGGAACCACCGGCAAAGTCTGGAAAGATGAGTGACTGTCCTCATGGCCTGGGGTTTCTAGTGGCACCTAGTGGCTAGAGGCCAGAAATGCAGCTAAGCAGAGAGAATTCCTGGGGTCAGAAGAGACCACCAATTTGCACCTTCATCTCTATATAGCACGGGAAATGGCGGCAGAGAGGCTAACCCAGACCCTGCTGTCCTAAAGGCAAGCAGAACGTTCCTTCTCATCCCTCCTTACCATCTCCACCTGGCTCCTGAGGACAACTAAAGCCAGGGAAAGCCCCGGCATTGGGTCCCAAATCCTCAGGCTGCCCTTCCTCCTTGGTATACTCTTTCCTGAGCCTCTTACGCTGGAAAGCAGTCCCTGAGAAACTGTTGGGGGGTGGAGAGAGACAGAGAAGTCCTAATGGGGTCCCTCAGATGCCTACCCTAAGAAGAGCCAAATGCAGGCCCCCATCCCCACAGCCCATCCCCGAGCTGCCTCCTCTCCCTTAACCAGCTCTTCTTTGTTCCTGACAGAGAGAGAGAGAGAGAGAGAGAGAGAGAGAGAGAGAGAGAGAGAGAGAGAGAGATCTGGAGGGACAAGAAGGCCCCGGGGATGTGGGCAGCTGCAGGAGGAGGCTGCTAAGACAAGCCCTAGGCCTGCTATTACAATGGCCCCATGTAGCTCCCTCCTGGACTAGAGACAGTCAGGCCTCAAGCACAGAAGATTCACCACTAGGAAAACACCTGCATCACCACCAGGTTGCCCACCCAACACCAGAGCTCTTCCAAACCCCTCCCCTCTCCTGTCATCCGGGCCTGCTTTCCCACAACAACGCATAAGGAGTGTGGGTGCTGAACAAGAAGCCTGCCAGGTGCATGACCCTGTGGGTTTGTCAGGACTCCCAAGGTCCTTCCTCTGCACTCAGCTCTCTGCCAGCCTGATTATTTTTGTTGTTGGGATTACAGGGGTATTCAACCACATCTGGCTTTGAGGCCTCTGAAGTGGGGTTTCTCAGCAATGGCCAGGGGAGCCAGGTGGCACACATCTGTAGTCCCAACAGTCAGGAGGCTGGGGCAGGACTGTCAGTCCAAGGCCAGCCTGAGCTATGTAGTGAGTTCCAGGCTGGCCTAGACTTTAGGGTAAGAGCCTGTCTCAAAAAAGCAGGCCACCTCCCGCCCCCAAATAGCCACACCAAACAGAATAAAATGATGCAGGCAAGGGGTGGGATGTGTTTCTCTCAGGAGACAATTCGGCAACATCTGGCCAACATCAGATAAGCAGCGCGGGACATGCCATGTGAAGATGTGCCGACCTTCCTGGAACAGCTCCTCATGGCTGGCCTCGTCTCATCTATGTTTAACACCTCTCTGATCTGATTTTTCTTGTAGACTGGACCTTGTAACATAGCTAGAAATGATATTCAATTCATGATCCCCCTGCCTCAGCTTCCCACGTTGTGGGATTACACCTTCTGGGTTTAGTCATGTGGACTCACTGAGGAGCCAGTGGATTGGGTGAATCCAGGTCCCACAGATAGCTGTCTGCGTTTTCTCAATAGGATCCTTGACTTGACATTAGAAATTTTAGCTGGGCTGTGGTGGGGCATGCCTTTTATCCTTTTAATTTTAGAAACACACCAATGTTTTCATGGAGATGATGTAGCCCCCTTTTTCACTTTTTAATTATTATTATAATTTTTTTTTTTGAGACGGGGTCTCACTATGTAGCCCAGGCTGGCCTGGAACTCACAGAAGCCTGCCTGCCTCTGCCCCCTGAGTGCTGGGATTATGGGTGTGTACTGCCATGCCCAGGTGTGTTTAGTTGTTTCTCAAGAGTGCTGGGATTACAGGCGTGCGCTGCTATGCCCAGGTGTATTTAGGTGTTTTTCAGAGTATTGGCAGGTTCTATCCTGGGCCTAAGGATACATTTCTGACTCTAAAGTAATGCATCTTCTCACACTAAAGCATACAAAAAATAATTACAGCATGAACTGACGAGTTAAAATAAGAACTACTGAGCCAAGACAACAGAAATAAGGCCAATTTAGTTTTTATTTTAATTTGATTCTATTTTGAGACAGGGTCTCACATGGGCCAGGCTGGCCTTGAACTTGGTATGTAGCTAAATTAAACTTGAGCTTCTCATTTTCATGCCTAAACCCCCTCTGGGCTGGGTTTACAAGCCCGCGTCATCACTACCAAGCCAATTTCATCTGGTCACTGTCATTATTCTCAGGTTAGTAGTGAGACTGACCAAAAGTCTCTGGGGTTTGTTTGTTTGTTTGTTTTGTTGTTGTTTCTATGGCTGCTGTTTCTAGTTATTTCATTGTTTTGATTTTTTTTTTTTTTTTTACAATGTCTCGCTCAGACTAGCCAGAGACTTTACATAGCACATATTGGCCTCAAACACGTGAGCCTCCTGCTTCAGGATCCTGAGCGCTAGAATTACAGGTGTTCAATGGTACATCGAGCTCAGAAATCCCCGCGTTTGCCCACATCGGCGGTTCTCAACAATGGCCAGGTAGATGTGAGTCCCGGGCAACAGTTGACAGCATCTGGCCCCTATGGAGGTGGCCACTGCCTAGGAACAGTGGTAGGTAGACATCCTGCAAAGCATAGGACAGCTATCCCCAGGACAACAAATTCCAGGCCCCAGAATGACAGACTGCAGCTTTACTACCAACCCTGTGATTTACCTGAGGAGAAAAAAAGTCTTAGAGATAACAATGGTTTGTGATACTTCAGGGCCATAGGGCATAAAGTTAAGGGAGGGTTCCCAGCCTCTAAAGGGCTCCTGTAGGCTGGGCTCTCACAGTGTGGTTCAAACTCCGGCCCAAGTCTTGCGGTCAGCGTCACCTATTTCCTACGGGTCCTGGGTCCTGGCCCCTCCGTTCTGGTCTTGGAAATGAGGGTTTTCCTCCAGAACAGCTCAGGGCAAGAAGGAGCCAGCTATGCCTCCAAGAAAAAAGGGATGGAGAACGCCCACTGAAACTCTAAGAAGAGAGCATCCAGCAGGACCGCAGAGCCGAAAGAGCATGACCGACTGGAGTTCCTAACACAGCAAACACTCTTTCACCTTGTTCTTCTATCTTACGACCCACGGTCCTTGTGGAAATGTCGGGCTGATGGCTCACACCCACTAAGGTGCAAAGGCCCTTGATTACCTCAGCTTTCCTCAACTCTCAGTGAAAAACTCTATTCCTGGCTGTTTGGAATTAAGGGGCTGGGACTGGAGAGAGAGGACTCAGTGGTGAAGAGCACTTGACTGCTTTTTCAGAGGTCCCGAGTTCAATTCCCAGGACCCGTAAATGAGGGCCCACAACCATCTGTAACGGGATCAGATTCCTTCTTCTGGTGTTCATGAGGACAGAGCACTCATACACATAAAATACACGAATAAATAAATCTTTAAAAAAGAGAGAGTATGGAGGCCAACCAAGGTAGCCTAACAATATTTAAAAAAATAAAATTAAGGGGCTTCTGCAGGGGATCACCTGGCCCACCTGGGCAGCCCCAGGCCACCACTCCACAGAGCTGAGCTCAGGCGCTCCGGAGGCCCTCTCGCCACCCTGCACGACTTCTCAGGGCGGGGTGGCTCTGGGTGAAGTTCGCTCAGGGTTAGGAAGGGGTCCATAGGACCCAGGAAGCCGGGCCACTGCAGAGCAGGAACCAAAGTCAACTTTCTCCTTAGCAGCCTGGACGTCACAACGCCGCCAGGGCTCCCGGGCATGCGTGGGGCGTGTAAACTCCTATAGGCTCAGTGCACCTGGCCATCACTGGTGGATCCCTGAGTTCGAGACCAGCCTGGTTCCAGGACAGCCAGGGCTACACCGAGAAACCCTGTCTCCTCGAGGCATCCAGCCCTCTCTGTCCCTCCAGTCCTAATCATCTCTCACCTCCAGCATCCTCGAGTGGCCGTGGGGCCCGGGACCCCGCTTCCTCAGTGGTAGCCCTCGGCCGGTGGCCAGCAGCGCAGCCAGCAGCATCAGGGCGCGCGGGAGCCGCGCTCGCACGGGCGGTGGCCGCATCGCCTGTCCTCGCGGCTGCTCTGCGGGAGCCGCCAGTTTCGGGAGCGCGTTCGCGCAGCGGCGCAGGCCCGGCCCGGGCTGCGCGGGGACCCAGCCAGGAGCGGCGGGAACGCGCGCGCGCTCGGGGGCGCGCGGCCGGTGATCCCGGGTCCGCGAGCGAGGTCAGCGGCCCTGGTGTCTTCCCCCCTCCCTCCTCCAGGGGCCCCTCGGCGCTCGGGGACTCGTCCGGGCCCCGCGGGCGGCTCCTTTGATCTGGCGGCCTCCCCGCCCTCAGTCCCCGCCGCTGTCGCCGTCGCGGCCCCAAGCGAATTCCTGTCCCGGGGAAGTTGCCGCCCGGCGCTGTGCGGCCCCGTGCGACCGCTGCTGAGGGGCGGGGAGGCTGCGGCGCCACAGCAGCGCTCCCCGACGGCGCGGCGACGGCCACCTGAACTAGCCCGGGGCTCGCTCGCAGCTGCGGCGAACGGCGGGAGTCTTTGGAACCTAGGCAGAGGTGTGCGTGCAGCCAGGTAGGTTTGCGACGAGGCTTGGCAAGATGCCTCGGGCTAGAAACTCGCCGAGCTGCGGTCCCTGATCGCAGTTCCCTTTCAGAACCGGGAGACCACACAAACTACAGTCCCGGGACGGCGGGCGGGGTGGGGAAGGCTTGAACGCAGGGGTCAGGGGATCTGTCCTGAAGCTGGTGTCACTGACCATAGGGTTGGCCCAGCCCCTTCTGCCAGCCCCTCGGGTTGGGTCTTCACAGCAGGCTACAGAGTAACTCGAATTCCTGAGATGACCAGTATGTCCAGCTGCGTTCAGGAGTGGCTGGAGCAGAGTGAAATTCTCAGAGCTGCGTTGAGTTTTTTTTTTTTTTTTTGGGGGGGGGTGTTTTTGAAGTTACTCTCGTTCTCCACAGCAGCAGACAATCTGGGTCTGAGGTCGGGTCAAAGGGGTTGGATACTGGAGATTTCGCATGATCCACCTAAGAGGATACTTGCCTGGTACATGATAAATACTCAAATGCTAGCCAACAGGATGCTAGCCTCTGAGCATCTTCTAAATCAAACTGTGTTTACTAGGCTGAAGGCAAGGCTGTAAAACAATTTTGGCTTAACTAGTTTTACTATTTAGCCTGTTAACCATGCTTTTGATGCTTTCTACGGGGTTAAATGTGACTTGGAAGGTAATGAGCTTGTTTGTTCGTTCATCATTCATTCATTCATAGCTGTCTCCAGGTCAGTAACTGCTACTTCACCTCAAGCCCCACTCCCTGACTGGTCTGTCTGAAAGGGGTCCTGCTGGCTGTACCACTCCCGTTCCCACAGTGCTTCCACCCCTGACTGCCATGATACTTACCTTTTCTGATTTTGATCAATTTCATTGAGACACAGTTTACATAAAATAAAATATATCCATGTTTAGGGGCTGGAGAGATGACCTTACCTGCATCCACAACTGATTTTTTTTCCCCCCAGACAGAATCTCATTATGTAGCTTTGGCTGTCCTGGAAGTCACAGAGACCCACCTACCTGTTCTGTTTCTCTAGTGCTGGGATTAAAGGCATAGGCCACTATACCTGGGTCTACCGTGGTTTGAATGTTCCCCATAAGTTCATGTGTTTGAATAGTTAGCCCTCAGTTGGTGGAACTGTTTGGGAAGAATTAGGAGGTGTGGCTTGTTGGAGGAGGTGTGTCACTTTAGGATAGGGTTGAGGTTTCAAGACTCAAGGCATTCCCAGCGTGCTCTCTGCTTCCTGTTTGTGGACTGGGATGTGATCTCTCAGCTGCTGCTCCAGCACCAGGCCTGCCTGCCTTCTGCTCTTTGCCCAGTCAAGACGGTGATGGCCTCCTGTCCCTCGGGAACTGTAAGCCCTGAATGAACTCTTCTAGAAGTTGCTTTGGTCATGGTGTCTTATCACATCGCAATGGAAAAGTAACTGATCCAGCCACCACCTGGAAGTCCAGTTTTAGGGGATCTGACACCCACTTCTGGTCTCCAGTGGGCACTAGGCATGCACATGGTGCACAGACATACATGCAGGCAAACAGATAAAATTTAAAAAAAAATATATATATATCTATTTTAACTGTACAGCTCAGTGAATTTTAAGTAATGTATAGATTCATGTGGGCCAGTGAGATGGCTCGGCTGATAAAGGCCCTTGCTGCCAACCACCTGAGTTCCATCCTTGGAATCCAGATAGTGGAAGGAGAAAACCAACCCCCACACGTTGTCCTCTGATATCTACCCATGCCCTGTGCAATATGCATGCAGGTGTGTTGCATCCACACCCACAATAAACAGATAAATGTATTTTGGTTTTTCGAGACAGGGTTTCTCGAAAAACCAGCTTTGGAGCCTGTCCTGAAACTTGCTCTTGTAGACCAGGCTGGCCTCGAACTCAGAGAGATCTGCCTGCCTCTGCCTCCAGAGTGCTGGGATTAAAGGCCTGCACCACTGCCCGGCTAACATATTTTTTAAACATATGCTTTTATGTGACCACTATAGCTAAGATTAGAACCTTCCCATGATTCTGATTTCTTTCTAGAGCTGTATGAAGATAAAACGGGGGATGATGAAAAGTCATGAGAACCCTGTACTGTCTGCGGACAGTGCATCCCTGCCATTCTTCTCGTGATCTGATGATTTTCTCATGATTTTCTGAGCTATATTGCTACATTTGTAGTCATCAACAGTAAAGCAAAATGACTTGTCTGCCGGAATGTAAATTCATCTCTAAATTTCTGTTCTTCTATATCTTATTTCTTCATTAACGAGTCTTTTGTATTCATTTTTATTTCTCTAAGAAAATCACGATTTTTATGTTTTTGTTGTTGTTTTGAAGATGATCTTTTAACAATGTCATTGTACAATCACCACCCCATAATCTTGTCTCCTGGCAACAGCTTATGCTACTGTACTACTATTTGCCTTTTTCTAGAATTTATCAATAAAATCATGTGATATAGTCTCTTACGTAGGCTTCCTTCAGCATGTTTCTGAGAGACATCTACCTTATAGCTATTGGTGATTTGTTCACTTACATGGCTAGGTTGTACCTATTGCTATTATTTGGGCACACTGCAATGTGTGTATCCACTTAACACGATGTTTCACGAGTTGTTTTCAGTTTGGGACTGCTATTAGTGAAGTAGCAATGAATGGTCAAGTTCTGAACGGACACGTTTTATTTTTTTCATGGAAATATAAACACCTAGTTGGCTGCAAAAAGGAAAGTGGTTGGGAGCTGGAGAGATGGCTCAGAGGTTTAGAGCATTGCCTGCTCTTCCAAAGGTCCTGAGTTCAATTCCCAGCAACCACATGGTGGCTCACAACCATCTGTAAAGAGGTCTGGCGCCCTCTTCTGGCCTTCAGGCACACACACAAGACATTGTATACATTATTGTATACATAATAAGTAAATATTAAAAAAAAAACGAAAGTGGTCATCTTGCTTCTCAGATGGTCCCCACCAGTAACCTAAAACAGCCCCAGTTACTCCATTTCTATGCCCACTGACTATTGTAATTCTTCTAGTTTTAGCCATTCTGTGTGCCGGACGATATCTTATTGTTTTCATTTAAACTTTTTGATAGTAACGATGAACAATTTTTTAATGGATTAGCATCTTTTTTGTTGTTTAAATGCTGGGATTACAGGCATGTGCCACCACACCCCTTGCCAGACTTTTTCGACAAGTGTTTGATCAAATATTTTATCTTATCTACATTTTAAAAACATTTAATGTTATAAGCCGGGAAGTGGTGATGAACGCCTTTCATCCCAGCACTATGGAGGCAGAGGCAGGTGGATCTATGAGTTTGAGACCATCCTGGTCTACAGGGCAAGTTCTCGAACAGCCTGGGCTACATAGAGGAAACTCTGTCTTGAAAAAACAAAATAAAAATAAAAAAAATAACTTTATGTGTATGGTTTTGCCTGCATATGTGTCTGTGTGTCACATGCATGCTTGCCTGCAGTGGCTGGGCACTGGGTCCCTTGGAACTGCAGCTACAGTTAAGAGCTGCTATGATGGTGCTGGGGGTTGGCCCTGAGTCCTCAGGGAGAACAGCCAGTGCTCTTAGCTACCCCAGGCCACTTTTAGTGAATGTGTTGACTTTATTGAGGAGAAATTCTTTGCATGTGTGTATCTGTGTGGTGAGCACATTTGTATGTGAGGAGGCCGGCTGCTCTCATTTTATTTACTGAGGTGGGGTCTTTCTCTGAACATGGAGCTCACAGGTCATCTAGCTAGCTAGACAAGACGGTGGGTGCTGGGGACCTGAACGCTGGCACTCATGCTTGGTGACAAGTCACCTGAACTACCGCCCTAGGCCTGTCATTTTCATATTTAGATCTATCACCTAATTAATTAATTATTGTATATGGAGGCTAAAGATCATCCTCCCGCCCCATACGGGCATTTAGTGACTCCATTGCCACTGGTTGCAGCACTTGCATTTGCTTCTCTGAAGTACTTTGGATCTTTTTCTTTTTCTTTCTTTCTTTTTTTTTTTTGGTTTTTCGAGACAGGGTTTCTCTGTGGCTTTGGAGCCTGTCCTGGCACTAGCTCTGTAGACCAGGCTGGTCTCGAACTCACAGAGATCCACCTGCCTCTGCCTGGGATTAAAGTGCTGGGATTAAAGGCGTGTGCCACCATCGCCGGGCATGTACTTTGGATCTTTTGCTGAAGCTGGGCAGTGGTGGTGCATGCCTGTAATCCCAGTACTAGGGAGGCAGGTAGACCTCTGAGTTCAAGGCTAGCCTGGTCTACAGAGCAAGTTCCAGGGCTATACAGAGAAACCCTGTCTCGAAAACGAAACAAAATAAAAAAAGAAAAGAAAAAGAAAGAGAAAATCAAGTGATCACATTACACATGAGTCTGTTTCTGGACTCTGCTGAGTTTAGTGACCCACAGGCACCCTAAAGCCAAGAACACTACCTACAATGTTAAAGAATGGTTTTAGGCAGTATAAGCCATTTTTCAAAACTGTGGACTATTCTTAGGTCCTTTGTATTTACATACAAATTATATTACTTGTCAGCGTTCACAAAAACGCCTGCTATCTTTTTCCACTCTCCAATTTTTCTTTTCTTTTTCTTTATTTTTGGTTTTTCGAGACAGGGTTTCTCTGTGTTGCTTTGAAGCCAGTCCTGGAACTAGCTCTTGTAGACCAGGCTGGCCTCCAACTCACAGAGATCCGCCTGCCTCTGCCTCCCGAGTGCTGGGATTAAAGGCATGTGCCACCACCACCTGGCTTCATTCTCCAAATTTTTCTAGCCAGTAACATGGTTCAGTTGGCACTTTGCCGCCAAGTCCCGTGACCCCACATGATAGAGAAATGGGCTTCTACAAATTGCACTCTGACCACATGTGAACTGGCAGGCTTACCCAGACACATGCTCTCCCCACAATAAATGTGAAAGAACAAAATAAAAAAAAAAACTTTTCACTGTTTTTTTTTCACAAGTACAGTGAATATCTCCCCTGACCTGCAAAGAGGCATAGCTGCCCCAGCCTCTCTAGCCTTTCCCTGTGGTCCCCCACCCCAACCTGCAAAGACATACCTGTCCTGGCCTCTCTAGCCTTGGCCTGTGGTCCCCCACCCCACCCCATCCCAACGTGCAAAGAGGCATAGCTGTCCTGGCCTCTCTAGCCTTGGCCTGTGGTCCCCCACCAAACTTACAATGATCTTCCCACCTCTGCCTCCCAACTGAGGTCTTCTTTTACTGAAACCCATCAGACTTTCCACTTCCTCAGACAAGTCTTCTCTGCTACCCGTTTCTATTATTCCTTTTGGGTGCTCTGCAAGCCTTAGCAATCTGTAAAACGGTGTTCACACACTTGTCCATATCTGTCTTTTCACTGCTGTTAATGCCCAGTGCACTTGCACTTGCTGGCATTGAGGTTAATGCCTAATATTTATTGGCTGAATGAATAAAGGCAGGTGTCTATTTCTGAATATTTTATTAGGGCAAAACAATATTTGTGGGATGATTCATCTCAAGTAGGTCCCCTTTAATTCTTAACATGTACTCTGAAAACGGATACCCTCTACAACCTACTATGTATAGCTTCACAGTCATCCGATACAATATCAAATTTTAAAAAATATCATGATCTGGCAAGAAGGCTATGGGCGAGTGACATTTGTAAGACGTTACTAAAATTCAAATGAACCCCACATTCCCAGATGGTAAGAACATTGCAGCAATGGAAAGGGTTAGGTCACAGGACACCTGCAGACTCCAGCTTACAGTAACTTGGTCAGTGGGAAGGCATGGATCAACAGGACCACCCTAATTCAGCTCTCACACCTGCTCTCCTCCCTCTCCCCCATCCCTTACTGCTAGCTGCCTTTGTACAGAGAGGGATCATCAAGACTATGGGCATGCAGGCTAAGCTCACACAAAAGGCTTCTATGTCCTGTGGAGAAAGACCCAATAAGGAAGCTCTCAGTTCCAGCTACTGGCTAAACCAATCCTGAGGTACAAGGATAAGGGGGAAGGTAAGTCACTACTCTGCCTCACTTGGTGGTGCAACCGCCACTCCTTTGAAAGGCCTACGCCAGTCAGGATCTGTACAGGAAACCTGGGACCTGTGCTAGACTTAGAGTTGACCCGGGGAGAGCAGCAGCACGTGGGGGTGCCATTCTTGCAGGCACCTTCCATTCCACCTACCTCGACTGCTCCAAAAACAGAGCGCTAGGTATTGCTTCATTAAAAACAGTGACCGCAGGGTGAGAGCCTCGCGTCCTTCCGTGTGCACCAACTACAGTGACAATGCAAGGCCACATCATAGTGAACGAAATCTTGCCCACGTCTCCCCAACCCCCACGCTGCTCCCAAGGGCGAACTGTGAACGTAGAGCCTCCAGACTCAGCCAAGATGAAAAAGGCCATTTTCATTAAGGGCTTAAATTGGCTCCTCGTGTTTCCTTCCTAGCAACACTTCACTCTACAGCAAAAAGCCGTTTGGAAAACACAAGTCACCGATAACTCCCATTTTACAGGCAAGGCAAGGGAAGGGATCAGTGGAAGGCCTTAGCATGTCTCTGAGCTGGCTGTCTGGCTGGACACAGCAGCTGGCTACGAGCCCAAGCACACATTTCATGTGGATAAGAAGGAGGGAAGGAAGGACATGGTTTTCTTCACGTGGAAGGTATTTTGATTGACCGGCTTAATGGATTAAGATGCCTGCTGGGCACGGAGCTTACAGGTAACGGCTCATCCATAGGTTCTGGAACTTGGTGGTGAGTGGGATGGGGGCTAAAGATTCTCTGATAAACCGCCAAGCAGAATCCTCATTTTTTATGAACCTCTCTCTTCATAGCCCCAGGTTAAGGTGATTTTACCTGTGGGAAGTACTCCACAGTTCCTGATCATCACAGGCACAGGGCTGTCAGAAAGAAAGAACACCATTCTCCCTCTTCTAACCCCACCTTGAAGCAAAATGACAGGAACACCCAGGTAGTTTTTACCTAGAACAGCGTCCGGGCACTCAGTCATATCAATCCACCCGTCACCCCCAGAGCTTTACCGGGTCCTCTTCTGTCCGAGTGTTGGGACTACAGATGTGCACCATACCTGACCCATAGCAATCATTTACACAGGAGACTGGCTGTTATTTTCTATGGCGTTTTGTCAAAAATACTACAAACCATTAGGCAGATTCATCAATTTGGAAAAAATGGAGTTGGTAATAGATACTTTGTCCAAAAAGTCAAAAGATCTAAGTCAGTTGTTCATTCCACCCACTTTTTGCAGGGTGTATTACATACCAGGTAATCCAGCCACACCCTGCCGGTCATGGACACTCAGATGTGGATGCCCTCAACTAGTAAAGATAGAAAAAGTCCCCTGCGGATCACTGAGGTGCATGGCTGTGCATGCAAGGGGCAGGCTGTCTACACTGCAGCTCCCCACACCCTGCAGCACACGTCAGTCCTCTCTGAAGCAGAAGACACAGAGGGCGAGCGAAGGACCAGCCAACGAGAGAGAGAGAGAGAGAGAGAGAGAGAGAGAGAGAGAGAGAGAGAGAGCGCGAGCGAGCGCGTGGGGCGGAAACTTTGCCTAGACCAGAAGAGTTGAAGAGCATGAGGAACTGAAGAGGGCTGGATCCCTTAAACAGGGATACTGCAGAGGGGAGATGCTCACTGCCCTGGCCCCTTGGGCCATCTCCCTCACGTATGATTCTGGTTGGCTGTAGTGGGTCTTACACACAATGGTAAGGAAAGGCAGGATGCAAAGCGCCACGATGAGCTGCACCTTGCAAACCAATCAGCAGCCAGGTCTGGTGGTGGCAGCTGACTTACATGTTTGAATCTCTTCAAGATTCTCAAGTGCTGGACTAAGATACCCTTGTATTGCCCCAAATTTAGATAATAATCTGTGACACGACTGGACAGGAGATTTCTATAACAGAGTTACAAATAACCAGTCACATATAATGTGCATACACCACTTTGTCCTCTAGAATGTACATAGGTAGATCACACGAGTTTTCTCTCTTCAAAATAAACTTTGCACCAAACAAGTGATACACACATAAAAATTTAAATGCCTGTCAAGAACACTTTCATTTGAAGTGACTTTGCTAAAAGACATGCTCATCGCTTAAAGTTCGTTACTTTTACAAGCCCTATGTCTACATCATTAAAGTCACTATACTTGGTATTCCAGTGGGATTCCACAGGGGGAATGTGAGCAAGATGTTTTGAGCTTTACAAGACTTCGTTACAAAATCTTTTTTATAAATGTAGTTGTTGTCTCTTTCTATGGTTCTTTTATTTACCATTTGCTTTTTCTTTTTTTTTTTTTGAGACAGGTTTCACTATGCAGCCCTGGCTGTCCTCAAGCTCAGAGATATGCTTGTTTCTGCCTCCCAAGTGCTAAGATTAAAGGCACAGGCTACCATGCCCAGCTTATTCAACCATTTCTATTCCTTTTTTGGGGGGATGGGTGAGTTGAGACAGGGTTTCTCTGTGTAACAGCTCTGGCTGGCCTCGAACTCACTCTGTAGACCAGCCTGGCCTCGAACTCACAGAGATCCACCAGCCTCTGCCTCCCGAGTGCTGGGACTAAGGCGTGTGATGCCATCACCAAGCTCCATATCTATTCTTTAAGAAAGCCTCATACAACCTTAGACTATCTCCTGGGCTGGAAGCTCACAGATCTCAAGAGGGCATGAGAGCACAGCTTCACCAACAGCAAGGCTTCTGCTTTCTCTTCCATGTACTGCAGCAGACAAGAAGGTCCCAGGAGAATCTGGGTGGGGCATCTTTACCAACAAAAACAGTAATTTTAAAGAATGACATATAGAATATACTTTTATACAGTTCTTTTCATTCTGTTCTCAATCAAGTGATAGACTTGATCACTACTAAAAGACAAATTCATCTTCAGTACAATAGAGACAAAAGTTCTCTTCCACTATGCTTTGGTTGAAAGAAAAAAGTACTAACTCCAAATGGTGTTCTTCAGATGTGTTCTTTGGTCAAGCAGCACAAAGCTCTGGATGAAGTCCCTGACCTGGTAGTGACAGAAAAACAGAAGCTGTTCCAGTTTAGGAAAGAGGTATTTGATCAGAAATTCCTCAAAGAAAAAAATACACAACAGAAGCTCAAGAGAAGCCAGCCCTAGATGCTGGGTTAGGGTCGTCTTAGGATGTCAAGAGTAGAAGAACCGGCATTTGGAAGAGCACTGTTCAAGTGGGTCAGCATCTACAAGGAAAACTTACACCACTGACGATGAGGCGGAACGGGTGAAGGACTGACCAACACTTTCCTTTACCATGCCAAATCCTACTCTGGACCCAGAACCAGGCAGAGGCTGTCGTAACTTTGGAGGTGGGAAGCATTAGGGTTAGATCTGGGGAAGAACCCAAACTCTGGATACATCTTCAGTCTGTGACCATATGAAGAAATAAGTACTAATGAATAAACTATCTGGTGACCACCACCACCACCACAACAGAGTAAGAACAGATTAGGGAGACTTTGTGTGTGTGGGGGGGGTCACATAATAAACTTCTTGGCATTGTTAACATTGAAGACTAAAGACAGATGCTTTGGTTGATTAACTTGACTGGTTAAATAAGGGTTACCAGGGGGGCGACTTCTGAGACCTGGACGGAAGTCAGCAGAAGGCACTTGCTCCCTAGGGAGAGGGCCAGTGAGTCTCAAAGGCTGGAGAGCCAGGGCCAGAGTAAGTCTTGATGGATCCAAGTCCGTGAGGTGGCTGGAGTGGGGAATGCCTGTGCGGTAAGGCATAGGCAAGGGTCAGTGTGATTTCACAAGTAGAATAGTTATAAAATAAAACATTTTTTAATGGGCAAAGTAATCATTTATATGTATATAAAGGTGAGACTTAGCAAACAAAGGAAGAATGTGAAGCAGTTTGTTTTTTTACTATTTACAAAATGCCATTTGGAGTGGAGGTGGCCACCTTCAGTAGTTTCAGAAATGTCTTTCACATGAGGTGGTCACTGAAGTGTGGTTCCTGGAACTGGCTCAGAAAGGCCACACGCTGTCCTGGGAGGGAGTTTCCCCCTCTAGGGAGCACCAAAAAGGCTCAGTCTTCTGTCTCCTCATAGGTCGTCTCATCAAAGGGCCTGTCCAACAGAGGCACCAACCGACGTCGTGAGTACTTCAGCTGCAGCAGGTCCCCGACTTCATCTATCTCCTTTAAAGCCTAAAACACACAAGACAGGGGTCAGCCAGGACAAGCAGGATGCAAGCATGCCCAACACTTTCCTGGAATGACCACAGTGGTATGGTTATCTCGGTGGAACACACTGAATTCCAGCATCCAGGAAAAGTCGTACACAGCTGAAGCTAGATAAGAGCTCAGGCCTGGCCATCAGATGGGCACGGGCACCCAAGCATGCACTACAAAGGCCACAGTTCTTCTAAGTGTAACGTGCTCGGTAGGAAAGGGACAGGCTTCCTGCCAGGATCATATCTATAATTCTGTATGAAAACACACACCTTGGGTCAGTGAGGGGCTCAGCTGGTAAAGGCGTCTTCCACATAGCCTCACAACCTGAGATCAATCCCTAGGACCCACATAGTGGAAAGAACCAACTCCTGCAACTTGCCCTTTGGCCTCCATCTTTAAGTTATGGCATGTTTGAACCCATACCCATACTCAAAAGCACAATAAATAAAAATTGTAATAAAATGTTTTTTTAAAATGTATATTTTAGAACAGTTTACCAGCATAAAGTTGAGTTTGCCTGTTCTTTATTCCAAGATGTGAAAAATAAAAAGAATAAGCGTTGGACTTCACTGTGCTATCAGAACAAGTACCTCTGAAGCCAGGCTTAAAACTGAAGACTCCACATACAGTCGACTCTGAACTTCAGACGGGGGAACCCATTTATTTCTTGACTCTGACAGAGGATTTATACATTTGAAACAGAAGAGTACGCAACTCAGAACGCAAAGGAAAGGATATTTACGAACGGTGACTTCAGGAGCACCTCATTTTTTTTTCCATCAGTGTAAAAAGGAAAGTGGTCAAGAATAGTCAGTGAGCAAACAAGCTCACAGTGCCCAAGGGGATGAGGGTAAGAGCTCTGTTCTCACAGCAAGTGCTTCACACAAGGCTTTTGAATGTTATTTTGCTATTTGATGTGGAATCTCAATAAACTTCCCAAGCTGATCTGAAAGTCTTGAGCTCAAGTGATGTTCCTGCCTCAGACTTCTGGGCACCTAGGACTATGGGCATATGCCAACATTCACAACCCCAGGTAAGATTTTAATCTATTAAAAAAAACAAATTTCTAATAGAAACTGTTGGCTCTTAGTGAGGTTATTTGGTTAGGAGTAAAGAACCACTATATGGTACCTTTTTTTTTTTTTTTTTTTTTGGTTTTTTGAGACAGGGTTTCGGAGCCTGTCCTGGAACTAGCTCTTGTAGACCAGGCTGGTCTCGAACTCACAGAGATCCGCCTGCCTCTGCCTCCCGAGTGCTGGGATTAAAGGCGTGCGCCACCACCGCCCGGCCATTTTTTAGCAAATAATTACAGTGACCCCTGCTCAAGACACAGGATGAACTCATTCAGGACAGGCCGAGTGAGGAAGCAGGTAACACCGCTGCCCCCCCCACAGCTGATGCTATTGTTCTTCCCATTATGTGGAGAAATAACTTTACTGAAATATGACCCACATTCTACAAAACCCAGCTCTTTACTAGTCATAATTCAGTGCTTCTATACAATCCCAGCAGCAATTTCCATCACTTCACTAAGTGTAGAAAGTTTCAGTCTCTCTATCTCTCTTGGCTCTTCGAGACAGGGTTTCTCTGTGCAGCCTGGCTGTCTTGGAACTGGCTCTGCAGAGCAGGCTTTCTCTGTCTCTGATTAACTCCCACACTCAGTACGTTTACTGCTCGGCACCCCTGCTTTCCCTCTGAGCTCTCTCAACCACCACTGTATTCTCTGACACGGCAGTTGCCCACTATGGGCATTCCTTATGAGTAGAATCCTAAGTCACAGCTGTGTCTAGCTTCTTTCAGTTAGCACAGCTTGTAGGTCTGTCCACGCTGCAGGGTTGCAGCTTCACTGGGCATCCATGCCGGCACTGCTTGCTTTAGAAACTACCTTTTGCTTACTGCCTACCCTTGGTGCCCTGTCAACAATCAGCTGACCAGACGATTAGGCTGATTCCTCAGCTCTCATTCCAAGCCTCTAGTCTAACTGCAATCCTTGTGCTGGTATTCAGCTTTAGCTACTGTGGGGTGTAATTAGATTTGTGATTAACGAATATGAGTCTTCCAAATTTCATATTCAACACAAGAGGACAATCATGCCTGATATTGGAAAATTAGCCAACTTCCTAGAGTGAAGTCACGAGCCTTGGAGAGGAACCTCGACCACTACCACTACTTTACTAAGATAGCATAGTTCCTAACAATAATATAAACAAATTTGTCCTTATACCCATGGTTAAGTGTAGATCTCACCCTCAGCAAGGAAACTTCTCTTTGCAACAGACAGAGACCATTACAGAAAATCACAGCAAAATGCAGGGTTCTGAAGCCCAGTCCAAGCTGATAACATCTGTACCACAACTCCTGCTCTAAGGTTCAGGGATCACTGCTGAAGGAGCAGGAAGTTTACTGTGAGACTGCGGCTCTTAGAAATCTCAGAAGCTAGACCCAAGTCTTACCAACACGACTGCCTAAACTTGTCCTAAATACTAACAGATATGTTAACACGGAAGGGGAATGTTTACAAGGTCTCAACTCTACACGCAGAGCTACAGACAAACAGGGAATGGAAACAGTCGAGTGGAAGAAATAGCCCTTCCCCGAGAAGAGAACACCAAGTTTTTACCTAATACCAAACAGTCAGCCCTGAAATAAGCATATAAGTAATGTTATACAGACTGAGCAAGTTGTATTTATATATTTACAAACACACACATAACAAAGAGGCCACGAATTTGAATGAGAGCAAGGGCAGTGGTGCATGGGAGAGACTGAACTGGAAAAGAGAAAGGGGAAAGATGTAATTGTCATCCTACCCACAGTCCACAATACTAGAGTATTGTGTTGATCACTTACAGAATGAATACCAATGACTAATAAGGCGCTCTAACTAAAAAAAAATTATTTATTTATTTGTTTGTTTTTTGAGAAAGTTTTGTTTGTATCTCAGGCTGGTTTCAAACTTCCAGCCCTCCTGCTTCAACCTACTAAACGCTGGGTTACTAAAGGAATGCATCTTTATGCCCAGCTCAGGAATATATTTTTAGTGAGAGAAATTTCATTTTGTAGATATAGAGGGAAATAGTAAAAAGTCTTCAGCTGTAAGAAATAGAAGTATAGGGCTTTAGAGATGGCTCAGAGGTTAAATGCACTGGCTGTTCTTCCAGATGTCTGAATTCAATTCCCAGCAACCACATGGTGGCTCACAACCACCCCTAATGAGATCTGATGCCCTCTTCTGGCAAGTAGGCATATATGCAGATAGAACACTATGCATAATCAATGAATAAATAAATCTTAAAAAAAAAGAAGTATAATTAGATATGTTAAGGAACAGAAACTGTTAGCTGGGCATGGTGGCACACACCTTTAAGCTAAGCACTCAGAAGGCAGAAGCAGGCAAAATTCTGTTTTGATGCCAGCCTGGTCTACTGAACACGTTCCAGGACAGCCAAGCTGTTACACAGAGAAACCCTGCTCTTAAAAAAAAAACAAAAACAAGACAAAACAAACCAACCCCCAAACTTCAATTAAATTATTATAATATTTTTAAAAAGAACGATTTAAAAAATTCCTTAAGATTAGTAGATCTTAGCCAAGTATAATGGCACATGTCTGTAATTTCACTACTCAGGAGACAGAAACCATTACCAGCATAAAGAATTTGCTGGACGGGGTATCTTAGGCTGCTGTGGGAACAACCAGCAAGCTTCCTTTTGAGTGGAGCTGTGATCAACACAGAGCAGCCACACAAGGAGGAAAGAGCTTAGGAAAGGAATGTATTTTAAGTGTAACATCGAATAAGAAAGTTTAAATTAGAAACAGCTGGAGAGAAGAGACCTGTCCTACTTTAGACTGTATCATGAGAGACAACAGTACAAGTGGATGAATGCTGATTGAGTAAGGTAGCCCACACCTATAATCCCAGCAGCTGGGGGGCTGAGACAGGAGGATCTCTAGTGTGAACACTGTTAGTTCAGGGGCAACCTCGGCTACTCAGCAAGACCCTGTCACAAACCAAAACAGAGGAAGCTAGACGGTTCTCCAGAACTCTGGTACTGGATTTGTGGACGATATGAAAGATTCGGCAACTGCTTTGAAATAGTCATTTAAGATAACACTGTCTGTCCTGTCTCACCAGGTGCTCGGGCTGGAGAAATGGCTCAGTGGTTAGGAGCACTGGGTGCTCTAGAGGAAATGGGTTCAATTCCCAGCACCTACATGACAGCTTACAACTGCCTGTACCTCCAGTTCCTGGAGATCCATGGCACCAAGTGTGCATGTGGCGCACACACATACACACACACACACACACACACACACACATCGTACAGATAAAATATTAATACACATAAAATAAATCTTAATAAAAAAAAATCCTAGATGCTCCAGAACATCAAGTGACTGGTACCGTCTGATATACAGCCCCTTTTAGAATGTGCCGTATTGATTTCAAGGTACTTACCGTATCAAGTATTTCTTTGGTATGAGCTGCTGACAGGCAAAATCTGGCTCTGGACTCAATGATTGGGGTAGCAGGAAATCCCACCACAACTACACCAATGTTCCGCTTCAGCATCTCCCGCCCAAAGGCACTACAAAAGGAAAACCAAGAAATGTAGCCAGACATGGTGGCACACGACTTTAATAGGCAGAGGTAGGTGGATCTAAGTTTGAGGCTAGCCTGGTCTACAGAACTAATTCTATGGCAACACAGAGAACTAACCAGGGCAAAATATAGAAATCCTGCCTCAGAAAACAAAACAGCAACAAAAGAAACCAAGAAGTATAAATAGCAGAAAGTACAAAGTCTTACTAGCTTGATGCCTGCCTGCCTCCCCCTCCCCCCCAAAAAACAGGGTTTCTCTGTGTAACAACCCTGACTGTCCTAGAGCTTGCTGTGTTGATCAGGCTGGCCTCCCACTCATGGAGACCCACCTGCCTCTGTCTCCCCTGCTGGGATTAAAGGCTCACACCACCACCACCTGGCTGCTGGCCCAATTCTTGATGATTCTAAAATCTCTGCTTTTCCAGTCCTCTGATAGTCATTCCTTCACAAAGGTGGAAGAATGCAACTGGCAAGGATCAACTCTGATAAAGTCTGCTACAGGTGATAGCCTGTCCCTGAAATGGAACAGTGGTTAAGATTGCAAACAAACCTGTGTTAGAAAACAGTAAGTTTTGAGACTGTGAGGACAGAGGACTTGTGACAGGTACAGCGGGAGTAACTGACTGGAATTGGCCTCCTAGGTCAGGAATTCCTCTTTTTTTTTCCTTTCCCTACTTGGGAAAGCAGGACAGGCTGCTTCTGAGGCTCTGTAGGCCAGCAGGTCCCCCAAACGCCACAGCTCTTATACAACAAGTTCACCATAGCTGTCTTGTGTCTTCCTCCACAGCAGAATCCGGACTAGATAATGAATTTTAATGGTTTGGCTTTTGTTTACCAAATTTTGCTTTGTGTTTTACCTTCCCTTAATTTGTTCACAAGTACTTGGGAATAAAAGGCAGCCCATGGCAGGTGTGGTGGTGCACACCTTTAATCTCAGCGCCTGGGAGACAGAGGCAGGCGAATGCGGTGAGGAAGTCTGATCTATACATAGTGACTTCCTGGCCAGCTAGGGCTACACAGTGAGATCGTCTTTAATAAAGCAAGCAAGGAAAACAATATCCTGCCCATGTAGCAACACAAGAATGCCAACTTCTCCTCCTTCCCCCCCCAACATATCTTTCTGTCTAATGACAGACCAGTTTGTGGCCTTTCCCAAAAGTACCCAATTTTGGCCGGCATGTAGAGCATCAAAGGCACCACCGGGGAGTCTTCATTGCCATAGATGATGAATCCCATTTCTTTCAGGCGTCTCCTGAAATACCTGGTGTTCTCAGCCAACTGTTGTACACATTCTTTGCCTAAAAAACCAAAAACCAAAATAATACTAAGGAATAGAAGAAAAAGATAACCATTTTCTTTGTCTTCTTTTTATCTGCCAGGACTTTTGTTTGTTTTGTTTTTCGAGACAGGGTTTCTTTGCCTAACAGCTCTGGCTGTTCTGGAGCTCTCTATGTAGACCAGGCTGGACTAAAATTCACAGAAATCCACCTGCTTTTGCCTCCTAAGTGTGCTGGGATTAAGGTTGTGCACCACAATCGTCTGGAGTCTTCATAGTTTTTATTGCTATGAAAGTATACTACAACCAAGGTTACTCTGACAAAAGAAAGTTACTATTGTTTTTTTATTTTTGAGACAGGATCTCTGTTGTGGAATAATCTTTCTGTATACTGTGAAAATGTGTTGTTCTCATTGGTTTAATACAGAGCTAAATGGCCAATATTTAGGCAGGAAGAGGTTAGGTGGGACTTGTGGACAGGGAGAATGCTGGGATGAAGAAGGTGGAGTCTCCAGGAGACCCAGGGAGAAACAAGATAAACATGCTGTGCTGAAGAAAGGTACCAAGCCACGTGGTAGAATATAGATAGGAAATATGGGTTAGTTTAAAATGTAAGAATTAGTAGTAACCAGCCTAAGCTATTGGCAAAACACTTATAACAACAAGTCTCTGTGTTGTTCTTTGGGAGCTGGCTGGTAGGACAGAAAATTATACCTATGGGTCTCTCTATATAGCCCTGGATGTCCTCAAACTCACTATGTAGACCAGGTTGACCTCAAACTCAGAGATATCTGCCTGCCTCTGCCTCCCAAGCAGTGAGGTTAAAGGCCTGTGTTAGCATACCTGGCTAAAAAAGTATTTAATTGGGGGCTTGCTTACAGTTTCAGGTTAGTCCTTTATCACCATTGCAGGGAGTGTGGAGGGTGGCATGCATGCAGGCATGCTCTTGGAACAGTAGCTGAGAGCTTTACATCCTGATTCAGAGGTAGCAGGAAGAGAGAGCCACTAGGCCTGGCTTCAGCCTTTAAAATCTTAAAGCCCACCCCCAGTGACACACTTCCTCCAACAAGGTCACACATTCTAATCCTTCTCAAATAGGCTACCAAATAGGAACTAAGCGTGCACATATGAGTGTTTGAGGGCCAGGCGCATTCACCTAGAACACCACACGTATGTTCTAGGGATCAGAAAGCGACCTCTGGATTTAGAGCTGTGTGCCACCATGCCTGGTTTAATGCAGTGCTAAGGATCAAACAAGGGCTCTGTGACTTCAAGGTAAGCATTCACCAGCTGAACTACACCCCCAGCCTTTTCCTCCATTTTAGAGACTTCTAGTGCTGCCTTATACCGGGACAAGATTTATCTTCCTACTGTGAACAGTGGAACGCTAGACAAAGTACAGAGCATAATGTGTTGTACCTATGCAACTCATTTAACAATGTAATGCAGATTTTTTAGCCCTTATTATTATCAGCTATTTAGGATAACAAGGAAAAGCAGGTTAGTAGTTAGTCATCTATTATAATCGAATTTGTAGTCATGTTAGGTATGTTTTCAAGGTCAAACAGATATATTTTAGGTATACAGGTGGCCTGCAAACACTTCAGAGATCTACAGAATATGGCATTTAAAATGTTTTAATAACACGGGTTTCTCCCTGTCTCTCTCTTTTTAATGACAATGAGACATGTCTGCTCCTGGCAGCATCAATCTACTTCAGAGAAGATGATGGGTACCAAAAACCTCCACAGGGTGTTTACTTTCTTTGTGGCAAAAGTTAGCCACTGGGCAAGAAAGTGCCCTTGCCTCAACTGCTGACAGTGTGCTGCCCAAATTGGACAAGCAGAACATAAAAGAAAGTGACTGACGAACTTTGCCAAAACAAGGTAGAACAACCCTTCAGAATATCCTGCTTCACAGAAAAGTCTGCCAGGTATGCAGGCCTGTAGGTAGAAGACGGCTGCCCCAATGTTGCAGAGGAACCTTGGGTGACTGTCCATGCAGTCAACTATCATTTGTTATATTTTTTTGGGAGTTGCCTGCTTGCACTTCCTGCTTATTCAGGTAATATTTCCTTCTTGGGTCTCTGATGGAGTTGAAGACTTTATAGTTATAGTTTTCCTTGTTACCAGATTCAGAAAAAAAATTCACTAAAGAAATGTAAAGTGTATAAGGTTGAAAGGCATAAAGGTAGGTTTTGTAATGCAAGTCAGAATAGAAAGTGAATTATCACCAAAATAAGATAATGAAGGATTTTCTCTAAATTTGTCAATTGTTAATGAATTAGACATTGTTGATATTTTTATAGCCTGTATATATTGTATAGTTATTGTACTTATTGTATATTTTTTCTTATATTAGTTATAATCTTTTTTTTTTAGACAAAAAAGGGGAAAGGTGATATTTGTTTGTGTTCCGACAAATAAAGCTTGCCTAGAGATTAAGTGCAGAGCTAAGCCACTAGTTAACCATAGAGGCAAGGCAGTGGCAGCATAATCTTCAATCCTAACACTTGGGAGGTGGAAGCAGCAGGAAGATCAGGAATTCAAGGCCACACTGGGCTACTAGTCTAAAAGAAAAACAGAGCTCACACCTTTGATCCTAGCACTAGGGAAGTAGAGACAGGAAGTGATATGGCTAGGCAGAGAGAGGAATATAAGGCAGGAGAAGACAGGAGCTCAACCCTATTTTGTCTGAGGATTCAGTAGAGGTAAGAAGTCTCTCTAGTGGCTGCTCCTTTACTTCTTTGATCTTTCAGTTTGTGACACTCTGGGATCAATCTAGTGATGCAGAAAATGAACTAAAATTTGGAACTTTCTAATTAATGACCATAAAAGACTAATGAAGTAATAAAATCCTTACGGGTGTGGAATTTGTGTTCATCTGTGCAAATATGTAGGTGGTTTCTTATGTTCTGATTTAAGCTCTCATTTTGAAATGTTCTTTCTATGTTCACATTCATGTAGCAATAGAACTTGAAACTACAGATAAAGATAAGCTGGCAAAACCACGAGGATTTAAACTTGTCATCATGCTGAAAGAAGAGTTTAGTATTGTTCCTGCATTGCATGTGCACAGGACCTCTGACATTACCTAGTAGAGGGTTGGTTTGTTACAATGTTGATTCCCTTTGAATATTAAAAACCATTTTTTAGTATGTATTATTATGCTTTGAGTTCATTCTCAATACTGCATAAGTAGATATGGTAACCCATAATTGTTTCTTGTTAGTCACTTTACAAAATTTTAAGGCGCTGGTTGCTAGTGAGGGTTCCTTTTCTTCCCACCATGTGGTCCTATGGATGGACTCAGTGCCACATTTGCTGACAAACACCTTGTTTTCTATCACCCCTTTCTGCTTTCCCTGACAAACGGCCCCAAGCCCCATCATACTCATTTGAAAATCAAACACTTATCAGAAACAGTACTAAATCTTAAGACTCATCTATTATTCCTTTAAAAACGGCGGCGGCGTGGGTGTGTGGACAAACACAGGATAGACGAGACGCAAAAGGAAGAGACGGGACACGCGGCTCCCACGTGGGTGCGCTTTAATGGGGAGAGGGGAACACAATAAGGGATGGGACGTGCGAGACACACAAGGGTAGGGGGAGAAAAAGGCCAAGAGAGCGAAACCTCATGGACCCTCGCTTTTAACAGGGGGGGGGGAGGGGGGGCGCAAGGTTATCTGGGAGGAATGACCCTCACCTGGGCGCGGCCAGCGCGCACACAGGTGACGGTAATCCAGGAGAAGTCTGGGAGCTGTAGTTTCCAAGGAATAACATCATCTAAGTAGTTTTAATTACAGGAGTAAGAAAACCCTGTTCCACTGGGCATGTAGAATAGACCTCTAATCCTAGTACTCAGGAGGCTGAGGCATACACATACACAGTTAAATTCAAAGTGAACCTGGGATACATAGCAGGATTCTGTCTTTAAAAACAAAACACAATCACCTCCCAAACCCCTCAATCAAAATACTTTGTCCATATCAAATATAAAATGGGCCAAGTACTCCTTTCATCCTTGATCAACCCCAACAAAACAAAGTGTGGCTCCTTCAGCCATGCATGGTGGCACATGCCTTTAAACCTCGTACTCTAGAGGCAGGAGCAAGTGATCTTTATGAATTTTGGGCCAGTCTGGTCTACATAAACTAGTTCCAGGGCAGACAGGGTTGTGTAGAGACCCTGGGTCCACAAAACAAATAAACACCCCAACTCTTTAGACATCCAAGGAAGAGACCCTATCACTGATGAGTCCCTGATAGGAAACACTGAAGGGTACAGATTACTTACAAAAAACAAACAAAAACCAAAACAACAATAACAACAACATAACCCCCCAAACTGTGGCAAAATCTAAAACAACAAAAACAAACACGTGCAGGAGGCAGAGAGGCAGGTGGATCTCTGTGAGTCTGAGGCCACCCTCGTCTACAGAGGGAGTTCCAAGACAGTCAGGACTCTCCCACAGAGAAACCCTGTCTTGAAAAACCAAAAAAGTGTGGCTATACTATGATTCTATTCTTACAAGAACATGTGTGTGTGGGAAGGGGCATTAAAAACTGAAGGCAGCAGAAAAAAAAATATCAAAAACTCACTAAAATCCTTTCTGTAGTGATGGCAAACATTTAGAGTTTGTTAGTATAATTGCTGCCCATCTTATGAATCTCACTATTCATTTGAAGTTCATTTCCATGCCACTAGAAAGATATAAAGACTAAACTTTAAGAACTTCTACTTGACACTTTTCACGTTTGGATATTTTAGCTATGAACTGTGTAGAAGAGGAATAAAACTTCACAAACTTTCTGGATCAGCAGATTCTGAACTGTCACAAATACCCCCACAGGATGTGCAAAGGACCCCTTAGTGTCTCGGGAGGGAGGAAGAGTTGGGAAAACATGACAGTGAGCATATAACTCACTAGGCCTTTAAGGATGCAGACTTAGACTGAAATCCAGATCATCACATCTAAAAATATCATAAAGCAGTGACTGGACTGGGAAGGGGTAGATGA